TGGGCTGGTGGCCACACTCGAGGGCATGGTCCTGCGTAGGGAGGCACAGTTGTCTGTCGCGGGCATTCAGGTACCTTTCAACACGCAGCCCACACTGATTGAAAGTTGAACACGCAGCCCAAACTTTAAATTTTCTGAACACGCAGCCCAGATTAAATAGTGAACACGCAGCCCACACTGATAGAAAGTTGAACACGCAGCCCAAACTTTAAATTTTCTGAACACGCAGCCCAGATTAAATAGTGAACACGCAGCCCACACTGATTGAAAGTTGAACACGCAGCCCAAACTTTAAATTTTCTGAACACGCAGCCCAGATTAAATAGTGAACACGCAGCCCACACTGATTGAAAGTTGAACACGCAGCCCAAACTTTAAATTTTCTGAACACGCAGCCCAGATTAAATAGTGAACACGCAGCCCACACTGATTGAAAGTTGAACACGCAGCCCAAACTTTAAATTTTCTGAACACGCAGCCCAGATTAAATAGTGAACACGCAGCCCACACTGATTGAAAGTTGAACACGCAGCCCAAACTTTAAATTTTCTGAACACGCAGCCCAGATTAAATAGTGAACACGCAGCCCACACTGATTGAAAGTTGAACACGCAGCCCAAACTTTAAATTTTCTGAACACGCAGCCCAGATTAAATAGTGAACACGCAGCCCACACTGATTGAAAGTTGAACACGCAGCCCAAACTTTAAATTTTCTGAACACGCAGCCCAGATTAAATAGTGAACACGCAGCCCACACTGATTGAAAGTTGAACACGCAGCCCAAACTTTAAATTTTCTGAACACGCAGCCCAGATTAAATAGTGAACACGCAGCCCACACTGATTGAAAGTTGAACACGCAGCCCAAACTTTAAATTTTCTGAACACGCAGCCCAGATTAAATAGTGAACACGCAGCCCACACTGATTGAAAGTTGAACACGCAGCCCAAACTTTAAATTTTCTGAACACGCAGCCCAGATTAGAATAGTGAACACGCAGCCCACACTTATTGAAAGTTGAACACGCAGCCCAAACTTTAAATTTTCTGAACATGCAGCCCAGATTAAATAGTGAACACGCAGCCCACACTAGTTGAAAGTTGAACACGCAGCCCAAACTTTAAATTTTCTGAACACGCAACCCAGATTAGAAATAGTGAACACGCAGCCCACACTAGTTGAAAGTTGAACACGCAGCCCAAACTTTAAATTTTCTGAACCCGCAGCCCACACTGATTGAAAGTTGCTTATACTGAACACACAGTTCGTACACTTCACTTCTGAACACGCGGCTACTTCATTTTATTTGCATGCAGCTTATTTCACTTCATCGGCACACAGCCCATTTCATTTCATTGGCACGCAGCCCAGTTCATTTCATCGGCACACAGCCCATTTCATTTCATTGGCACACAGCCCATTCATTTCATTATTGACACATGTATTCATTCTGAATGCAGGTTGGTTCTCGCAGTGTACGGGGATATGGCTCCACTGTCGCGAGGGATTGGTATGCTGAGCTCCCGGAGGCTGTCCGGGATTTAGTAGACTTGGCAGGATTCGGGGCTTTCTGCGTTGGGTTGTCACGTTGTTCCGCCAGGAGGACACTGATGGCAGCATTGGTAGAGAGATGGTGGGACACCACCAACTCCTTTCATTTCTCTGCCACTGGAGACATGACCATGACGCCTCTAGATTTTGCCGTGCTGACCGGCCTGGACATAGGAGGTTGGCCCATCCCCTATGATGAGGATATGGGCAAGTGGGAAGCCGCTTGGATGTATCTATTGGGGGCTCGCCCGCCTGTTGACAGGGTTTCTGGGAGAGTCCGATACACTTGGTTCTCTTCCCACTTCTGGCGGGCGGAGATGGTGCCCGAGACTCCTGAGGAGACGGAGCAGTACGCCCGTGGTTTCCTTATGTTCCTCTTTGGGACTACCCTGTTCACCGATAGAGGGAACACAGTCGGGTTATATCTGCTGAGCGCTTTGGTTGACCTATCACAGGTCAGTAGATATGACTGGGGTGGCGCCGGCCTGGCTATCCTTTACTTTTATATGAGCGCGACCTCCCGCGGGCGGGGCGATTTACTTGGCGGCTACTGGAGAGCCTGGGAGGTACTTTTCTATCCCCTGGATTTGCATTTCTGCTTTTCATTACTTGTACATTGCACACACAGCACACTTTTACAGTCTGTACTTTGCTCTCAGCATTTCGTACTTACATTCTGCACTGCTTTTCTCAGCTATGGGTCTATGGCCTGGGAGGTACTTTTCTGTCCTCTTGATTTACATTTCTGCTCTTCATTACTTGTACATTGCACTCACAGCGCACTTTTACAGTCTGTATTTTGCTCTCAGCATTTCGTACTTACATTCTGCACTGCTTTTCTCAGCTATGGGTCTATGTATACTTCCCAGCATTAGCCCCAGAGTTGGAGGTGGCAGGGCTTCCCATGACCCCATACTCACTAGTGTTCGAGGGCCCGCACCGGCCGAGACCCCGAGAGACCCTCATTTACCTGCGACAGTACTTTGACACTGTGCGACATTCAGAGGTACCTCAGAACTCTCAGTTCCTTTCATTTTCATCTTTGATTTGCTCTGCATATTCTCGATTTCTGATTGGTTTATGCATTCATCATCCGCAGATCACATGGAAGCCCTGGGTGTCCCTGGGTGATGGTCTCCGACTTCAGTATACCGGAGGGTCGGACATCTCCCAGTATAGGGTCCTGCTTGAAGGGCCGGTTGGCATGGTATGGTTCCTGGGGGAACGCTTTCTGCGCCAGGTATGGGGGTATCTTTCTCAGGATCCTCCCGTAGTACCCCCAGTCAGTATACGGACTGCTGACAGGCTCTCTTACTCGGAGGTAGTCGGCGCCCTTACTCGGAGGTAGTCGGCGCCATGCTGGGTAGTGATGCTTTATTATATGTTGAGGAGGGGGACTACGCCACTTACTGTCACATATATTTGATGCCTCCATTGACGGGAGCTCGTATCCCGATGATGAGGCCTGCCGGTATGTCATCCTCGGGCCAGGCCCGAGCTCGGGCTGCAGACGCCCCTTCTACTAGTAGGGCTGGTACATCTAGAGGTGGGGGTAGACTGATTCCTCAGATTCCGTCGACCTATCCTCATCCTGGATGGCCAGATATGCCGACTGAGTTGATGGCGTGGCAGTATGCCGCAGCAACCATTATTGGCAGGGTTTCCGGCAACACGCCCTCTGCTTATGTTTGTTGTCTCACTTTCTGCTTTCCTCGGGCTTCGACGGGACTAGCATTCGCCTGATTGAAGTCGCCCAAGGCTTGAGAGAAGGGAAAAGCTGTATGCTCCATTGTTTTTCATTCATCATTTAGATGTTTAGACATTTTTTGTTCACTGATGATTATGAGCTCATTTTTGCAGCCACCGCGAGGGTACATGGAGGAGGTGGTTGGACTGGTGGCCACACTCAAGGGCATGGTCCTGCGTAGAGAGGCACAGTTGTCTGTCGCGGGCATTCAGGTACCCTTCAGTTTTCTGGCATTTATCATACTTCTGATAACATGTTGATTTCTACTGCATCGATAGACTACTTGTGTAGAGCACATCTGACACACACCCCGCTCGGACACTGCATTTACATGCACCCACTTCACGTAGCCTTTGCTTGCATCTGCATCTGATGTATATATTCAGACTGATGTATTTGAATTGAACTCTTTGTTTTCAGATGCCTTCATGGTCCGGTCAGCCGCAGGCCAGGCCACCTGGGCCTCCTTGGGGAGCTGGGCCATCTGGGCCTTTTCAGGGGGCGGGGCCATCTCGGCCTTCCCGAGGAGCCGGGCCATCTAGGCCTTTTCGAGGAGCTCGAGGAGGGCCTGTCCGCAGACGCAGGGCTCACATTGTAGAGGTGGAGCCTGATGAGGAGGGGGAGGATGCTGAGGAGGAGGAGGAGGAGGCTACCGATCGTCAGTCAGAGACATCTGCTGAGGAGGGCTCCGGTCTTGGTTCTGGGAACAGAGGCGAGGCTGAGGGGGATCCTGAGGATGACAGCTCCGACTCAGATGATGATGACGGTGCAGAGGTTGTCCCGCAGAAGAGGATGAGGAGTGCTTCTCGTTCACGCTCCCGAGGACATTGATGTTGCTATTTCCTGCTTTATTTTTCTTTTTGCCAGTATGACAGTGCGGAGATTATCCCGCAGAAGAGGACAAGGTGTGCTTCTCGTTCCCGCTCCCGAGGACTTTGATGTTGTTATTTCCTGCTTTATTTTTCTTTTTGCTAGTAGTTTGTAGCACTTTGCACATTGTTAGGCAGTTTTATTTTCTGTAAAACTTGTACCTTTGTTTATTGTAAAGCATGACGAAATGAAATAGCTTTTGAAAAGATGTTTGTATTTCAAACTTTTAGCATCGTATCGCATCATTTATTTTGCATAAAAATGAAATTGTATGGAAATGCGCATTGTGTAATCACCAAGTCAGGTAGTGAACCGACGCAACAAACTAAACAACTCAACTTACTAAGATATAACAGGACCTTAGCAAGTTTACAACTCGATAAGCAAAATGCAACAACGTAAATAAACAAGACTTTAACAAAAATTGCTTAAACAGAGGGCAATGACTCAAAAACACAAAACACGTCCGCTCGACGAACAACTCGATAAGCAAAATTGTGTAATCACCAAGTCAGGTAGTGAACCGACGCAACAAACTAAGCAACTCAACTTACTAAGATATAACAGAACCTTAGGAAGTTTACAACTCAATAAGCAAAATACAACAGTGTTGACAACGTAAATAAACAAGATTTAAACAAAGATTGTTTAAACAGAGAGCGATGACTCAAAAACACGAAACACGACAGCTCGACAAACAACTCGATAAACAAAACGACAACTCGATAATCAAAACAACAACTCGATAATCAAAACAACAACAACAACAAAGTGTACTTCGGATGATCTGGGCACCGGAACACATTCGAAACAGAGGGAAATGAAGGCTTTTGACACATTTGCAAGGCCTTTGACTCTCCATTTGCATGGAAATGCTTGAAACTTTCCCTCGAAGGGTAAAACAGGGCCAAGGAGATACACTGCAGCATTGCCGGCCACCTTTGGGAGCCAGCCGACCAATTTTATGGAGAGTGGGAGCCGGCCGGCCAGTTTTTGAAAAAGAGAATGGCCGGCCAGCCAGAAAAGGTGGCCGGCCGGCCACTTATTCCTGCAGCCACCTAGTTTTTGACACGTGTCCCCGTGAATAGTATTTTTCCCTCTAGAAAAGCCTCAACTTCGGGAACATTCATTTCATCTTAGTTTTAGACAAAGATGGAGGCGTTTCTCGCAGAAAATCTCACATCTTGGATCTCTTCTCTAGATGGCTCGGAAAAGCTGAACTTCCGGTGTTTCGGTTTGAATGCACTATTCACGCTGAGCCGTACTCCGCTACAGCTTCCTTTTCTCCATGCCGCAGCAAGGTTCTGGAATCCAGTGACGCACGTTTTTAGCTTTGGCGGCCAAGAGATGTGTCCCACTTTCGAAGACTTTCAGGTTTTGATGGAGTTTGAATGCTCTGAAGTGATCTTGCCCCAGCTCCGTTTTGGCCATGCTCAGGCTTTAGGGCAGATGTGTGGGCTTACGGCGCATGACGTTCGATCTCTGATCTGCAGTGGAGAACTGGACATCCTTGGCTTGATCCATCGTTTTTCCGACGCTGGTGACCAAAGCAACCATTATTGGCAGGGTTTCCGGCAACACGCCCTCTGCTTGTGTTTGTTGTCTCACTTTCTGCTTTCCTCGGGCTTCGGCGGAGCTAGCATTCGCCTGATTGAAGTCGCCCAAGGCTTGAGAGAAGGAAAGAGCTGTATTGCCATGACCTTGGCCGAGACGCTGATGGGTTTAGATTCTGTCTATCGCCGGGAGGCGACTAGGTTTGCTGGGAGTCCACTGCTGCTGCAGGTAATGTTTCCCACCCAATCTTACATATATATCTGCTCACATCACTCGACCCTCAGGCTCGGTTTTTCTCACAAAACCCTTGTCTTACTTTTCTCTCATCGTACATCTCTCTGTTCTTTATTCTCTCATTTTCCATCCCTCCCCCAGGTATGGTTATTGGACAAGTTGCAGGTTGTGGACTCTTGCCTGGCCTATTCAGCTCGAGGCTACTTCTTTCGGCAGCGCCTAGTCAATGCTCTTGACGAAAGGTGGTGGTTCGATTGGATGTGCAATTTGTCCGCAGACGGCATTGCTTGGCGTTGTCCTTGGCTCAACCTCCCGGCAATGAGCTATAGTATGTCCCGGTTGATTGGGATCCAATTGATCGGTCTAACCCACTGTGTATTCTATTTTCCGTTCCGGTTCCTGCGTCAGTTCGGTCATGATCAGACCTGCCCACCGGAGGGGATTGAGTACCCAACTACTTTCCCGGTCCGGGGTGCACAGCTTGCCCGATATGCCACAGCATGGAGGACTAGGGAGCTCCTGGCTCCTACTTTCAGTTGCACTTTGTCTGGCGAGTGCTTGGATTGGCTCAACGAGGAGGCACAGGTCGGGCCTAGCTTGGCATCAGATGCTTCGACCAGCTCTGGGAGGGGGCGCAGAGATACTTGACTCGACTATGCCCCAAATTCATTACTTTACCAGTACTTTCAAGTTTTCTTTATGAATGTAATAGAAAAGCAACCTCAATTGTATGCAAGAGCAGGAGAACTCAATTTTGAAATCAATGAGATTGAAAGTTGTGGTACTGAAAATTTTCCGCTTCGGTCCAAAAATGGTCTTAGTTGTAAAAACGATTAATTTGAACAAAGTCAACTTTTATTAAAACTTTTCAAAGCCATTTTCGATATGGATTAGAAATGGACATGCCGAAGATCTGTCACTGAGATACACAACCCCAGATCCATGCAATTGGAAAGTTGCCCCTAGTCTGAAGAACAATGCGGCACTGCATGGCAACGGAAAGTTGCCCCTAGTCTGAGTAACTTTGCACCGTCGCGGCAACGGAAAGTTGCCCATAGTCTGAATAGCACTGTACGGAGATCGCGATAAATGCTGATGGATAAAGATGACTGAGATGATCAAAATGGACAGCGTTGATCAGGGAAAAGTTTATGGCTGAACTTTAATGTGAAGCTGCCTACGTATCCCAAAGATGGGAATCAAGCCTTACGTAGTTCAGGCTAAGGTTCACTCGAGCATTTTCACTCTCCTTTTGCGCTCTAACTTTTGCCAAGGCCGCCCTTTGCGGGTTTTCAACCTTGCGAGCTTAGTTTTTATATTTTCCAATTTTCCGTGCTCTAACTTTTGCCTAGGTCGCCCTTTCGGGTTTTCGGCCTAGCGAGCCTCTCAAGGATAATATTTCTTCAACTTGTCCATATTGATCGGTTGTGAGAACTCCAAGCCATCTAGATCCATCAGAACCACAGCTCCACCTGACCAGATAGCTTTGATGATGTAAGGACCAGTCCAATTGGGTTTGAACTTGCCCCTTGGGTCGTGGATGGGAGCTCGGTTGTCTTTGAGCACCAAATCTCCTTGTTTCAGATTCCTGGACTTAACCTTCTTGTTGAAAGCCCGGGCAATTCTGCGTTGATAGCCTTGAATGTGGTACAGTGCTTTCAGTCTTCTTTCATCAAAGAGCATGAGTTCCTCAAATCTGGTATGCTGCCAATCTGCTTCGGCTATTTGGCACTCGGCCAATACTCGTAACGACGGAACCTCAATCTCGATGGGTAGAACAGCCTCCATTCCATAGACTAATGAATACGGAGTCGCTCCAGTAGAAGTCCTAATTGAAGTTCTGTAGCCCCACAAAGCAAATGGCAGCTTGTCTGGCCAATTCCGATAGGTTCCCACCATCTTCTGCAGTATATGTTTGATATTCTTGTTGGCGGCCTCGATCGCTCCGTTGGTTTGCGGCCGGTATGTAGATGACTTATGGAAAGCCACGTTGTATTTTTCCAACAAGTCTATCACTTCCTTCTTGAAGTGGGAACCATTATCTGAAATTATCTCGTTTGGCACCCCGTAGCGACAGATGATGTTGTTTCTGATGAACTTTGCGACGTGCGACGCTTTCAACACCGCGTAAGATTGGGCCTCGACCCACTTTGTGAAATAATCTATAGCTACCAGGATAAACTCATGCCCGTTTGACCCCTTCGGGGTAACAGCTCCGATCACATCAATTCCCCAAACTGAAAAAGGCCATGGCGAAATCATGTTGTACAGCTTTGACGGCGGGATGTTCACGCGGTTTGCATGATTTTGACACTTGTGGCATCGCCGAACAAAGCCGATACAATCCTCCTCCATGGTTGACCAGTAGTAGCCCTGTCTGAGGATCTTTCTAGCCAGCATTACCCCATTCATGTGTGCACTGCACTCCCCCCCATGGATAGCCTCCATCAGGCGCTTTGACTCTTCAGCTTCTACACAGAGCTTATGCATTCCCAGATGACCCCTTTGGTACAGCTTACCCCCGCAGATGATAAACTGAACAGCCATTCTTCTGATGGCCCTCTTATCCTTGGCATTTGCCCCTAGTGGATACGTCTCCTTTTCTAAGAAGTTCCAGATGTCGTAGTACCAGGGGTTGCCGTCTTGAGCCTCATCTATGGCGAAAATTGACTCGTATGCTGGCACAAAAAACTTCTGATCAATAATGCTGGACGCATCCGGACTCCGGACGGGATGTCTATCATAGAAGATAGAGTTGCTAATGAATCTGCAAACCTGTTGTTCTCTCTTACGAGGTGGGTGAAATTTTAGCTTCTCAAACCGAGGAATTACAAATCCAAGGTTTGGTGGTAATTATCATCCTTTCCTCCTTGACTTTCCAATCTCCTTTTGCTTGAGACACAACAAGGTTCGAGTCCCCAATGACGTCCAACCGTCTTGCCCTAGTTCAGGGCTGCTTCCAGGCCAGCAATACATGCCTCATACTCTGCTTCATTTTGAGACTTTGAACCGGAGCTTGAATGCTAAGGGGATAAGTCGTCAGCGCTATCAGCAACACCCCTATCCCATAACCATACTGGTTTGACGCTCCGTCAAAGTACATCGTCCAAGTTTCATTCTCGACGTGCAGAATGGCTTCATCTGGGAATA